CAGCATGAAGAGCAAGAATCGAATTTTCAACACAAATGTGAAGTCAGTCAGCTCTCCTGTTATCCGAGTGAGCCACGAAAAGCATTTCCAACAGTTCAATGCAGTAGTTGCCCACTTTGGCGACTCCATACTGAAGACCAAGTGGCTGGCTGGCTGGCCAGAAAGAATTAGCAACAAGAAACTATGGGAATAAACAAACTAACCAAGAACCTATCACCGTTCAAAAAATATGTAGAAGAAAATAGAGGTGGATCAAACACACGTCACTTGAGAGACAGCTGAATGACATGGCGCATCAGGCCATCACTCGAGTAAAATCTAAATGGGAGGCGACGAGTGGGTCGTCAGTGCGAGGGTGACACGGAGATCATGTATTGGAAAGGAGAAGATCAGAGATTATGGACAATCGTGGGCCTAGCCAGCTGAAGAGGACTGCAGAGAATAGAAGAAAGTGGAGATGCGTCGTTGAAGCCAGCCCTATGTTCCACTCGGAACGCAAGGGAATGATGGTAATAATAATGATATAAAACAAACATTTACTAAGAACTCCTACCGATATTGTTATTCTGTGTACCAACTAATCTCTCATAACAATGCTATAAAACATCAAAATAGTCATCATCTCAGAATACAGTCTATATTATCATAAAATCAAGCTTGGACTCAAACAACATATTCCAAACTGGATGGCATGAAGTAATGCAGAATGTGAAAAATGGATTATTTTTCCCACCCACTAAAGTTTTTTGCCAACTATTATGTCATTTATATGTAGCAAGTACTGTATCCTTGATACTCCTCTTGAAAACTAATAATTTACGATGACTTCGAAAGTGGATATCTTTGGTCAACCACCACATACACATATATGCATCTTCCAGGGGATATTTTCAAATTGATTAACATTCTTTTACTGAACATTATTAATTATTATCATTATTGTTCCCTTGGATTTCGAATGGAATATTCGGCTTCAACACCACATCTACACATTCGTCTTGTTCTCTGCGATTCTCTTCATTTAGCCTCATGGTTGCCCATAGTCTCTCATCTCCTGCTCGAACGACCTCCTTCATTTTACAGTCGGACCAACGCCCAACTCGTTCTTCCCTATTCAGATTCCACTCAAGTGATGGCACCGCGGACGATGTCATTCGAAAGGTCTCCTCATTGGCGTATGCCCAATCCATCTCCACTTCTTACTACATATCTGTTGACCGATAGTTTCTTGGTTCTTTTGTTCTCAGAGTTTCTTGTTGCTAATTCTTTCTGGCCGACCATCTGATCTTCAGTATGGAGTCATCGAAGACAACTGTTGACGAAAGTCTACACTGGTCTGTTGGAAATGCTTTTCCTGACTCATGCGCAGTGCAAGTTTCTGACACATATAGAAGAAGTGACTGAATAACTTAACATTTGTGTTGAACAGAATCCGAATCTTGTTCTTTATACCTATGAATGTCTTTTTTGCCTTTCTTATTCTGGTTTCGACAACGTCATCCATGCCTCTAACCTATACTTGAAGGGATGGTGCCTGGCCAGATAAGTGGAGGAAGTGACGTCTTCCAAGTTGTTGGCTATTTTCATCACCTTCATCTTCCCTATGTTCATCTGAAGTCTTGTCTTTGCCGCATTACTTCTTCTATCAGTTTGTTGGTTTTCGCCTGTAAGTCTTCGAGTTTTTGTGATATTGGACATAAATCATCCACACGAGAAATACAGATCTTCTAAAGTCTTCTTACCGATCAGTTCAGCGTATTCCTATCTTCTCACTCCCCACAAGTGGTCTTCTGCATAATCCAGTCGACCACAGTTGAGAACGTCATCGTCAATGATAATAGGCAGCCAGCCTTGTCTTACCACAATTTGAACATTATTATATTATTATTTCCTGTAATTCCTAGAGGAACATAGGGCTTCAGCCGTGCGTCTCCATTGTGTTCGGTTCTCTGCTAGAGTCTTCACCTGACTCCAAGTCTGCCCACACGCTTTCATCTCCTCTTCACATCACCTCCTCCAAGTCACCCTTGGACGACCAACTCGCCGCTTCCCTTTCGGGTTCCACTCGAGCAATGGCTTGTCTAGTGATGTCACTTGATGGTTTCCTCAGGGTATGGCCAGCCAATCCATCTCCATTTCTTCCTGCATATTTGTTTCACAATCGGTTCCTGGTTGGTTCGCTCCCAGAGATCCCTGTTGCTGATCTTTTCTGGCAGGCCATTTGATCTTGAGTATTGAGTGAAGACAGATGTTGACGAAGGTCTGTAGTTTATTTGAGGTGCTCCTCATGACATGGCACCAAGTCTCTGATCCATACAGATAGTAGCACTGACTTCACATTGGAGCTGGAAATCTGGATCATATTTTTCATGCTGAGTGTTGTTGACCTCCACACAGACTTGAGAGTAGTGAAAGCTTGCCTTGCTTTCCTTATCCTGGCTTCGATATCCCTATCAGTTCCATCCGCCTGTAGTTGAAATGATGTTTCCCAGGTAGGTGGGTATGTGAAGGTTCCTCCCATTTATGCTGACTGTTGTCAGTTGTTGTTGCTGCTGTTGCTGTTGGCCAGGAATCTTCATCACCTCTGTTTTATCTATGTTCATCTGAAGTCCTATCTTTGATGCTTCTTCTGTCAACTTGTTGCTTTTCACCTGCATATCTTCCAGTTTGTGGGAAATCAGACATATATCATCGGCGAAGTCAAGATCCTCCAAGTTTTTGTGTGTGTCCATTTTATGCCTGTTTCCTCATTGCCCGCTGTTTGTCGCATTATCCAATCTACTGCAATCAGGAAAATCATTGGCGATAGTAGGCAGCCAGCTTGTGTTACTCCTGTCCTCACTTCGAAGGGTTCCGTAAGTTTCCTGTTGTGGATTACTTGGCATGCAGAGTTGTCGTACAACTGTTGGATGAGATGTATAATTGTCGGTGACACCCCGTAGTAGCGAAGTAGTTGCCAAATCACCTCTCGATTGACGCTACTGAAGGCCTTTTCAAAGTCGATGAAGTTGAGATAGAGAGGTGACTGCCATTCCAAGCTTTGTTCAATAATGATCCGTAGTGTGGCGATTTGATCAATGCATGACTTGTTTCTCCTGAATCCAGCCTGTTCCGGTCGAAGTTCTTCATTGATAAAAACATGTTAACAATTATAAATAGGATAATAATAGAAACTAAACTCACACACACCTACACAGACAAGTATTGTGTTGAGAGCTGGCTGCAAACAAGCCAAAATTGTGAAACAACAATTTCCGTCAGTTTTACGTCCGAAATCAGGTGCATGAGAAGAAAACCCACTAACGAAGTTTGACCTTGAGGGACTCGCCAACCAATCACAGCAGACTTAGCGTGTACAAATACAATTCGCAGATATATGGCTTAACTTTCTGAGAAACGGTCGGTCACAGGCAGTACAGAATAACCTTCAGCAAGAAAACAACCAATCAGAAGACGTTGCTTCTCCACCGAGAATACTGTACATAAAAATCTATAAATATCACTTGATTTTGTCAAGAAACGATCTGTTGCCTGGCTCTTGTCTTCCGTCGTTACAGTGTGAATAAACAATGGATATATAACAGGGTGTGTATATTTACAAATAACGATTATTTTAAATTATCATATACGGATATAAAGTACGTCTGTATGCATATATATATATATATGTATAATATTTCACAAGATACCTAGAAGATTTATTAAATAATCTGTACAAAATTCTTTTAAAAATATTGGAAATAAGAAGACGTAAAAGAAAAAAGAAATAAAACGAGAGTTGTGTGAAAAACATTTTCACCATCACACAATTTGCTCTTATTTTCATTTTTTTTTTTTTGAAAAATTTCACCTCACTCAAATTATTCAAGGTGATCAATGTGTTTTGTATATTTTGTTAAATTGAAAATTAACTTCCCTAAACTCCATGAAATGTAAACACAAAAACAAGTACACGCAATACAACTTATCTCTAAAAAAATTTCGATAAAGGAATAACAATCGCCAGCTTATCAACAATTCAGTCATACTTGAATCAGGTTGAGTAGAGAACGGTTGGAAATTGGAGAAAGAAAAAAAGAGTAATATCAATAAATTTGTACAAACAGTTAGTTGTTTATGAAAATTTGTAAATTCATCCACAAGTATCAAATATATGTGGGTAGACATGGAGATAACTGAAAACGTCGGTGGAGAGCAGAACGCAGTGGAGACGTCCGGCTGAAGTCTAATGTTCCTCTAGGAACTAAAGGAGACAGTAATAATAATAATGACGATATATATGCATCTCATAGTAGATTAGTACAATGAAACAGTCTGTGAATATTTGTGTTGTGTATAAAAATAGGCGGAGTGAATGAATGTACAAAAATTATACGATTTAATGGTTTTATTCACAGTCTGTAATTTTTACAATTCTAAGGGAGAGTTTTGATAGATAGACAGACAGACAGATAGATAGAAGGGAAGACAGACAAAGAAACACTTTTCATTAAAAAACAAGAACCCTGGAGGGTGCGTACTGCTGAAGAGTTAGTCCAAAACTAGGCTAACGAAACAGCTGTCTGGCAACAGTACTCCCAGCTGGTTTTCTAATGTCTCTCTAAGCGATGTCAGGCTCAGGATGTACTCCTCTAACCAAAAACAGGAAATTTCACTTTGAAGAGGAAGCTAATCATACTAATCTCGTGTTTCACATTAAAAAAGCGGAGAAAAAACGGAAAATGAGGGAGAATAAACTGACTGAAGCCGTGAAGGATTGAAGCTGTCAAACAGTTAGATATTGTTGAAGAGGATATAAAGCTTTACTGAGGCTTGTCTGAGGCGACAGATGACACAACATACTTCAACAGATCTATTTTTTCACTATCACAATCAGCAGAGCTATAAAAATTTTAAGAAAAATATTGTCTTATTTGAAAATACGATATGTTACATAACAACAGGAAGATGATTATTATTACTACTACTATTACTACTACTAATAATGATGTTGAAAATGCCTAGAATCGAGTTGAGCTATTCGGATCTGGTCGGGAATAGAATATATCCAAATAATCAGGAAGTGCAGGATTCTCTTGTCCAACAGGATAAACCAATAATAATTGACTATTGCTCTGACTTAAACTATGTACCTAAAAACAAAAAAATTCAATAAAAATGCAATATTGAATAAAGCATGAACAACAATAGTGATAGATTTTGTGTAGAATAAGAGAAAATCGTACCATCAGTGTTTATTTCGTTGGCTACTCATCAGCTGATTACGGCCTAAGTCATACTATTAAGTTTATGTATAGAGACAATTTTAACATACTTACCCAGAGAGAGTTTAAGTTGAAAACAAAAAATCAATATATGCATATAACGGTAATACTATTAGTAATGATCACTTCATCTTAAACAATAATAATAAATTTTCAAAAGTTGGTTTTTAAGGATTAGATTTGTTTTTACGAGTTTGACCATGGATTGATATCAGTTAGAGAACCACTGAAAACCACCTGGGAGTACTGGACAGCCAGCTGTTTCATCCTAGTTTGAGAATCATCGGCAGTACGCACCCACCCGCCTGTCGGGTTTCGAACCCAGGACTTTCCCAAACTAGGATGAAACAACTGTCCAGTACTCCTAGCTGGTTTTCAATGGTTCTCTAACTGTTATCAATCCATGGTCAAACTCGTAAAAACAAATCTAATCCTTACAAACCAACTCTTGAAAATTAATCTGATGCTCGCTAGTGACTTGCCACAGGACGGAGTTCCCTGGAGTTATAGTGAGAAGTCGTGACCAGTGAGGTCCATTCAGATGTCACGTCTGAGAATGAATTTCCCGCCGATTACATTGGTTGGTTGTCGTGTTGAATCGCGAAGCTGTAGAAGTTAGAATTCATGGGCCATTGAATCGGGTCCCATTGGCTGAATGGTATACGAGCTCGCCTTGAAAGCAGAAGGTCCTGGGTTCGAACCCTGAAAGTGAGTATGTTCTTACTGCCCATGATTCTCAAACTAGTATGAAACAGCTGGCTGTCCAGTACTCAAGTGCTGATCCGTGGTCAAACTCATAGAAATAATGATTATCATACCGAATAGAATTTTCAGCATTACGTAACCAAATGAAAGAGAGAATAAAGACATCTGGTAACCAGAGCAACGAAAGATTGATGATTCAGGCTTCAGAGATCTAATGCAGATTGCTTCAGCAAACTTGAGGAGAAATCCATTGTGGGTAAAATTTATTTTGATAAAGTCCCACAGAGTGTTATACAGTAATATTTACTGATGACCACGTTTCGAGAACAATTTATTACTGCCACTCATAATCATATCAAGACACTACTCACACAACTTTCTAACTTCGTTTACGTAATTCTATTATTCTGCATCGCTTGATTTGATTGGTAGTGGTGTTTTCCGTATTTCCCGTATGAGTGATGAGTCATTCCCATTGCGCTTGTTGGATGTAGACTCGATGAACAAAGGTGCAGTAATCAGCCTCCCCACTTCCAACTACCTATATTACTTTTTGGGATTTTTACTCTCTCCCATCCTGTTGTGTGGTTGTGTGTTAGTGCATGCAGTGCAATCGCTTAGCTTTTTTCTAAATTACTGATCTGTCTTCGTGTGATCAACCATTCTAACCGTAGATAAATGTTTATGTTCCGATAATCTGACTATCCCCGATCTACTGGTTTGATCCTGAGAAGTAATATAGGTATGTGGAGAGAGACGGAGAGGTTGATTACTGAATCCTTGTTCATTGAGTCTACACCAAACACGTGCAATAAGAATGACTCATCACTCATACCGGAAATATGGAGAATACTACTACCAATCAAGTCAAGCGATGCAAAATAATAGAATTATATAAACGAAGTTAGAAAGTTGTGTGAGTAGTGTCTTGATATGATTATGAGTGGCAGTAATAAATTGTTCTCGAAACGTGGTCATCAGTAAATATTACTGTATAACACTCTGTGGGACTTTATCAAAATAAATTTTACCCACAATGGAATTATACTCTAGCACAGTGCACAAGTTCTATTCTTATATCAAACTTGACGAGCATTGAGCTCTTCTCTCTGTTGATAATTCTACGTCCACCTCAGAACCAGCATCCAGGAAATGTCTGACAGTGACACTACTGAAAAGCATTTGTCCCCTTGAGACGCAGATTTTACAGTATATGTTCAGAAAATCGGAGGTGTGCCCTTCTTCTTTCTGTTCTCCAAATGGAACTGCTCCCTCAGATACATGTAAATTTGTATTAAACAGTTAGAGGTGATATGTGAAGGGTATCTATAGACTTTCAATTGCACCAAAGAGAATGTTTTCCGATAGACGGGAATCAACTTAGCTGCAGGGTAGGCTGTGGTTAATGACGTATCAGATCATCTGTTGACTAATCCTTCAAATTATCAGTCTTTTAAAAAATCGCGTGATTTGTTTGACATTAGTCCCTCCACATATTCCATACTTCTTAATGAATCTCTGAGGGTAACCGTTGTTTTCCAACATCTTTTCGCGAATCAGAATTTCTTCCTTTAATCTCTCTGTCACTGTGTGTTATTAGTGTCTCTCAAGGCCATATAAAGCATATTTGTATACTCGACCACTGTCAACCCATTTCGCTGTTGATTCGAGAGAGTGAAAGTTGTCTACGCCAAGCGTCTGTACTGGTGCACCGCAGGTTCATTGGTATCTTATCGTTTCGTTGTAACTGCTAATAGTGATTAGGAGATTAGGTTGGTAAATCGACTAGGTGGGAAGTTCGCTGGCGCAAACTACAAAGTTTACCAAAGTCATGACATATGTTGTGTTGCGAAATTAGGCAGTTTGTCTTTTACTCCCGAACGTAATTCGGCAGCAGAGAATCCTCTTTTCACTGCATTCCTAAGGCACTGTGTTAGTATCCCACTGATGTTTTCCCCCAGGAACAATAAGTCCTTTTTAGGAACTGTTGGTACCTTGGCCTGCCTTGATTTCAGATTCATATTCTTATCAATAAACTTTTCCGGATAACCATTTTCACTCAGCATCCGTTTACAATTATTAAGCTCCTCATCAAGACATTCATTCGAGCAAATTGCTCTTGCTCTGTGGAGGACCAAGCACTTCACCAGACTGCGTTTTTATTTCAAGGGCACGAAGCTGAAAAAATGAGTATACTGACAAACAAGTGATGTAGGTTTTCTATATACACTTTTTGTTATTGTGCCATCCTCTTTTTTGGTCATAAGGATGTCTAGAAATGAAATACTAGAGTCCTTTTTTTTCTCTTGAAGTTAATCTTCCTTCATCAAAAGGAGGAAATATGGTTTTGACAATAATAGCCGATTTATCAGAAACCATAGTGACTTGTTTTTAGTATTCACTATCGTCAATAGTAAAAAGAAAGTTACTCATTATTCAGTACATAAAAAAGTGAATTGTACTCACAGAATAATACTTTACTAAATCTCTTAAATCAGTGAATTGTTCTGGATTAGCAACACCAAATAACTGATATGTACTTTTACTTAAAGCACGATTGGACGTCTGATTGTTATTATTATTTGTCTGTTGTTGTGTTGCAATCACCGATACGAGGAAATGATCACAATATGAGGAGGTGTATACACTTATCACATAACCTGGAAATGATTCATTTAAGTGTAGAAGGAAACTGCCTCTTCTGTCAGTTTGAGTTAATAAGCGTTCCGCTTGCTCTCGAGAAAGTATTCCTGAAAAAAATAGGTGAACAGAGTTACAGGCATACACAAAAAATAATGTTGATATAAATATTTGTTAAAACTGATTAAGAAATAAAATTATCAGCTCCAATATTGCTGATACACCTGAACGCTGAAGTTCCAAGTGGAATATATGGATCAAGCTGTAGCTTTTAAAGTTCTGGTAGCAGTGGTTTTATTTTTACGGGGTGGGGTTGTTAGCCTCACGCGCAACCTCTTTACCGGCTTAGCGAAGTTTAGGATGGAGTCGACCGTGAATCGATCCCCAGACCAAGTGAGCGGTCGGCGGACGTCCTGCCACTGAACTACCGACATTCCTTCAATATTAGATAAACCACGTAGAAGAACAACAATGTGAAAACTCACTTGCTGAGCAGATTAATATTCATATTGTCTTAGATATTTCAACTTATCTCTGCTTAAGATGAAATTCACTAAGTTTCAGGATTTAAATACAAAGAGTATTGTGAAATATTTTCTATTCAGAAGGACAGAAATTAGAACTACATCCATGAGAGTACCTAGCGCTTGTATTTCTCTGAACTAATCTTCCTTAAGTGTATTCACTAGATGAATATACTGTACAGAAAGATTATAGGACTTCATAATGAGCAGACATAGGTTTGAGGATCATTGGAAGACAACCAATGGAGTACTGGACAGTTGTTTCATCAGCCTGCCTTGGGCTTCTTCAGCAGTACACACCCAAGCCATTGTCAGAGTTCCAACCTTTCGGTTACAAGCAAAGCTAAGTCGTTGACCATTAAGCCACTGAGACCCGATCCAGTGGCCAGTCCATGAATTCTAAATCTTGCCATTTCCTTAACGATACAGCGCGACAGGAACTAGCCAATGTGATAGCTGGAGAATATTTTTCCTCGCACCCAACCTACTGTACTCCATTGGTCATGACTTCTCACTAGAACCCAGTTAACTCCATACTGATGAAGAGTTCGAGATGAAACAGCTGTTCAATAGTCAATTTCTGGTTTACCAATGGTTCTCCAACCGATGCCAGCTCATGATGAAATCCTGTAACCAATCAAATCCCTACAAACGAACACTTGGACATTGAACAGATAGTTATTTCCTGTAAAAATAATTGTTGTGTGTTATTTAAGTTCAGAAGAAAGGTGTCATATTTAAACACTTAATTAAAGTTAGTGATTTCATTGATGTCCTCTAGAAAGTTTCCCCCTTTGAAACAAAATAACGGATATTATTAACATATGACTTGGAATTACTATGTAGTGATTCAAAGTGACGCAGTGAAAATCTTCACACCAGTTGAAACTAGATAGGGTGAAATCACAAGAATTCGAGAATGCAAACACCAAACATCATAAAATAATATTAGATAAAAATGTTAAAGTAAATAAAGTGACAGGAATCACCGTGTTATCGAATGAATGTAAAAAATCATCATCTTTTTCACACCTGGGACTTGGTCAAATAGCCAACCAATCAGAATATTCGGTTTATGCTGACCTAGCCAAACTGCCTACCAATCAGAGCAATCTATTTTCCACTGCCCTAGGCAGATTTTAATGTGAATAGAAATATAAATATGACGTGTTTTTCCTAATAAAATGTCACCTCTTAACAGTCACGTGTCAGTGACTTTTGATATTTTACATGGCTCAGTGAAGCATAAGGTACCACGACGGATGAATAGGCGAATTTAGCATATCGATTAAGTTGCCAATTTTTTTTCATTCACGTTCCCCAGTGGAACATAGGGCTTCAAGCTGGTGGCTTGAAGTTTCTGTAGCAGTGTTTGTTTTACAGGATGGGGTTGCTAGCCTCATACCCAACCTTTCCTCTTCACCAGCATTGTTTCTGGCTTAGCGAGGTAAAGGAGTGCGTCGGTAAGGGATCGAACCCCGGATCATGTGGATGGTAGGCGAGCGTCCTAACCTCTATGCCACCGACGCACCAAGTTGCCTATTGCTTCAGTATTATTATACACACTCAGAAGTCTACTGGATCATATCAACTGTCGACGCGATCATGTCATTTAGCAACGAGATCATAACATTAAGAAACATAATGATCAAATCAGAGCATATTCGGAAATGGCTCCAAAAACAAATGGAATCTTCAGAACCTATTAATGGTGAGAACAGGAGACCCAGCTCTTCTATTGCGAAACATATTGTAGAGATAGGACATAAAATTGACGTTAACACATCTTTTAAACCTATCCATAAAATGTGTTTGGGGTGTATCCTAAGGTTTGTGGAAGCTCTAGCTGGTAAAAAGGAAGTTTAAACTACCTTTATGCGTCCAAAAACAATTCGTCATCACACTAAGCCACCTTTCTTGGTAAACTTTGTTTTGATACCAGTCAGGGCAGATGTACTATTACCCCTGTTATTTCGTTTAGTGGTCTTCATTGTTATTTTGACCGTGAATATGTCCTTTTAACTTGACCTAAGTCTATTTTCTCACCTCTTAACTCTATGAATTTCATATATATTCCTATGACAAGTCGGTGTGTGATCAGATTGTTCGAAATGTGTTGCGCAAATACATTACATGCACGATTCAGACAAATTACGTCTTCTTATTGCTTAATCTAAAATCAAATCAGTGTTAGGTATGAAGACAGTTAGTTATCAAAGGTCTAAACAGATTATCTGATATCTTGAAGACAGTGAGGAAATATAAGTCTCCACCAAAATGAGACAGTAGAAAGATAAAAGCAACACTCATAAATAAACAGAGATATTTCGATACTGGCTTTTTGAGGCGGGAGGATGGGAGCTTAAATTAATTTCTTCACAAACCAACGTCAGTTAATTAGAATCATCGAGAACCAGTAGGAGCAGTAGACAGCCATTTCATTCCAGTTTTTATGCATCAGAAGTGCACATCTATGACCCCACCAAGAATCAAGCGCGAAATAAAGTTAGAATCTATCGGTCATTGCATTCTGACCTGAGTGGCTAAATGATCAACCAGATTGGCCTCATAACCTAAAGATTCCTAGTTTTGGTATTTGGTGGGATCCAACGGTGCTGAAGAGTTCCAAACGATGAGTTATTACATATCTCTAATAACGGGTTAAGGACGTAGTATTAACGAAATAGGAAAAAGGTCCGGACATATAAAAATAAACAACTCGCTAAGAAAATCCATCTACAGAAAGCCCACATGGAACGGACAGTTTATTACCTTCCAAAGTTGTGTGTCTCTTAGTAAAAAGAGAAACTTAATATACTCTCTTTCCTCGAAGATCCGGAAGATTCGCACTGAAGAGTCAAACGACGAAGAATTACAAAATCTCCGAGAGACCTTGGTAGAAAATGTATTCCCACCCAGATTCATAGACAAGAATCTAAAACCAAGGAAAACACCTGAAAAGGTCCAATTCTCCTTTAAAAAGGATGCCAATATTGAACCTCAAATGTAAAAGCGATACCGGGGCAGAAATTCTCCGTATATTGCTTTCAAAGTCTCTCAGGAAAACATACTTCGCCTATAGCTTACGAATAACACTCTCCTGCAAGAAACTACTCACTCAACACGTGAAACACAAGCTGTCGCATTGGACCACTTCAACATGCATATACAAGTTCACTTGCTCGTGTGGAGCTGATTGCATTGGCCGTACCATGCGTCCGCTTGTAAAACGCGCGCGGGAACACTATCCAGCATGGTTAGCAAAGGGAGAACGCAAAAGGGTATACAGTTCGATAATGGAACATTTGATGAACTCTGGACATTCAGCCGCATTTGAAAAGTCCTTCAAAGCCAAATACAGGAATCGATCCAACCTACCAAAGAGAGTGAAATCAAGACATCTAGGAATAGCTGAGGCACTGGTGATCCAAAAACTCAATCTTATTTTAAGTGTCCAAAGGAAATACATCCAATCGTTGTCCCTACCGTGGCCATCATGAAAAGTCAGTCTCAGCAATAATGATAATCCTTTTACGTTTCTTGTTCAACCTTCCCGTTTGTTTGTTATATTTACCTTTTTAAATCCCTATGTGCATTATTAGATTTGGTTACTGTTTTTATTTTCATATGTCCGAACCTCCTACCCATTTCGTTAATATCTCTAATAAATTAATTATCATCACTTCTGTACCCATTATATGCATGATAAATTAAGAAAGAACCCCCAAAAACGATACTGCTTTTCATTCATTGGGAAATACAAAAAATGATTTATTATAATGAATATCATATACCACCCAAAGCCCAAATTTTTTCAAACTGTTAAAAGTGAACTTGGTTTGGACATATATGACACATATTCCTATTTGTGAAGATCTAACTCACCGTGGAACCATTCAGGTACTTGTGAAAATGCTAGTGAGGATAAATTTGGACTGAATCCAGTTATTGGTAATCCAAAATCAATAAGTAGTCGTGAAGCTTCAAATTTTTCAAACCATCGACAAACTTTAGTTCTTGAATCATCTTCATATATATTGAAGGCTTTACGGGAACTTCTAACATCTGGTGTCCAAAATCCAGGCTTTGGAAGTACTAATGGAGCTCGATCACTTTTATAGAGATTTGAATTCCAGTAACCTGTATGCAGGAATATTTGAAAATCGATGTGAATGTATGCGTATTAAATCATGGCAAATATAGCGTGAGAAAGGTAATATGAAAAGCATTTATAAATAATTCAGAAAATGCAACTTTTTTATCTTCTTGTTTAATTGCAACCTACCACTTCTCCAAAACACCTAGAAAATTTTGACTTCAGTCTTTTTTATATTATTTTTTTATTATTCCCTTGGGTTCCGAGTGAATCATAGGGCTTCAACAATACATCTCCACTTTGTTCTGTTTTCTGCTGTACTCTTCAGCTGGCTGGGTCCACGGTTCCTCATAATCTCCCATTTCTTCCTGACACAGTCTCCTCCATGTCACCCCCGCACTGACGACCCACTCGTGACTTCCCATTGGGATTCCACTCGATGGCCTGGCGTGCGATGTCATTCGGCGGCCTGATTAATGTATGCCCAATCCATCTTCATTTTCTCCTACACATTTGTTAAGCGATCGGCTCTTGGCTAGTTTGTTCCCATAATTTCTTGTTGCCTATTCTTTCTGGCCACTTGATCTTCAGTAAGGAGCGATGGCAGCTGTTGCTGAAAGTCTGCACTGGCCTGTTGAAAATCCTTTTCGTGATGCGAGCGCAGTGCAAGTTTCTGACCCGTATAGAAGGACCGACTTTACGTTGTTGTTGAAAATCCGAATCTTGTTCCTTACGCTGACTGAGTGGAGAAGATTTCCAAACTGGTTTCAGGTTGATGATGGCCTATCTTGCCTTTGCGATTCTGACTTCGACATATTCGTCCGTTCCCCCTGTAGTTAAGACGATGCTTCCCAGGTAAGTAAAGGAGGTAACCTGTGTTAAATCTCTCCCAATGATGGTGATTGGTGCTGGTTGTTGTTGTTGCTGTTGATTGGTTATCTTCATCACCTCCGTCTTCTCTATGTTCACCCGCAGTCCTGTCTTCCCTACCTCTTCAGCCAATTTGTTAGTTTTCACTTGTAAGTCTTCGAATTTGTGTGACATCAGAAGTATGTCATCTGCGAAATCTAGATCTTCTAGAGTCTTTCTTTCGATGGTTCAGAGTATTCCTGCCTCCTAGCCCCCAACAGTCGGACGCATAATCCAGTCCACCACAGTTTAGAATATCATAGGTGATAAAAGGCAGCCAGCTTGTCTTACTCCTGTATTCACTTCTAACGCCTCGGTGAGTTTTCCGTAGTAAATCACTTGACAAGTGGCATTGTCATGTAGCCAGCCGTTGAATGAGGCTGACAAAGACTTGAGGTACAACGTAGTGTTGAAGTAGTCTCCAAATTACTTCTCGGTCTACGTTGTCGAAGACTTCATTGTTGATGAAGAAAAACTCATATTTATGATTTGTGTTTACTGAAACGTTTGCAACATCATGAAATCTTTAAGTTGAGGCAAAGATAAACTGCCTACACTATTTAATTGGAGCTTTTTCTAAACCGTCAACACTACTAATTACATAACATTTTGAATTTAACAACTACCAAAAGTGGTGTACTGAATTAAGGACTCAGATTTCATATAAAATATTTATTGTAATCGTAGGACACGTATACCTGGTGTCTCATAATATTTTTATTATTATTGTTCCCTTGGGTTCTGAGTGAATCATAGGGCTTCAACAAAACATCTCCACTTTGTTCTGTTCTCTGCCGTACTCTTCATCACGATTGATCATAATCTCGTATATCTTCCTCACATGGTCTCCTCCATGTCACCCCCGCACTGACGACCCACTCGTTGCTTCCCATTGGGATTCCACTCTATGTATTGCCTGACCCATCATTTCATTAGGCGTTCTCCTCAGCGCATGCTCAATCTATTTCTAATTTCTTCTGCATATTTGTTGATTGTTTCGTCATGTTTGTCACTAACAATATCTGGTTATTTATTTTGAATGTGATTACTCAGAAATATAATCTGAAGTGCGTATTTATATTGTCAGGAATATCGGAAGTCTTTATATCAGAAATAGTTAAAAGATGTCTAGCTGAGCTACACCTAGTTATCTTATGCAGGCCTCTTGAAAGCTCCTTTAACTTGATTTTTCATGCTCTGTGTTACCATTTCGCCGATGTTATTACCAAGGAACTACAGATTTTTGAACAGTGGTTTTTTTTCTTGGAGCTGTTTTTTTTCAATGAACTTATCTGGATAACCACTTTTCCTAATTAAATCTCTAATAATTTTATGCTCCTCATTGAAGGAGACTTTTACACAGATTATCCTAGCACCATGAACCAGACACTTTACTAAATTTCATTTATTTTTCAAAGGTGTAAAACTCAAAAACTGAGTGTACTGACTGGTTGTTGTAGGTTTCTTATACACACTCCTTCTTAGTGTACCATCTTCTTTCCTTGCCAGAAAGACGTCTAGGAATGAGATACTGTCATTACTGTCTTTCTCTATGGTAAAGTTTATTGTTGAATGCACATCTTATTTTTTCATAACCAGAGATGTATCATCCATATATCGACAGTAGAATTCCAACTCATTAATTACTCCTTTCAGTGGCCTATTCTCTAACTAAGCGAGGAAGGAAAAAGTCAGCTAGAAGTGGACTTAATGGAGAACCCATAGGCACACTACCAGTTTGTCTGTAGTGTTTCTTGTTGAATAAGAAATCAACATTCATTGTACACCTTAAAAATAAGTTCAGAAGAAATTCGTATAGCCACTTTGCCTTACCCTGGCCATTGTTACATGGATGTAAAAATCTCTTTATAAGCCTTTTAAAAATTAGAATTATCCAAATAATTTTTCTCTTCCTTAATTACCTATTACGTAATCAGCTTGAGCACTCGCCTGTTCCTTAATTACTCTTCATTCTTCCAGAACTGTGTATTATGTAATAACTACTTATTGTAACCACCTCTATCCTTTAATTGTTAGGTATCACCCCGTGGACATGCTGATATTGACTAATTATTTATCAAGAGTTTGTAGAGATTTGATTTGTATTTCATGTTTGACCGTGGACTGATATCATTCAGAGAACCAATGAAAGCCAGCACTCGAGTACTCAACAACTCTTTCATCGGCCTAGTTTGCAACACATCGCCAGGAACTTCCACTTACAAGGCAATCTCGCAGACCATTCAGCCAGTGGCAACCGACACCTCAGTCGCTGCCAGCCATTGTCATCAGTGAATGTTTGTCATCACTGCTGACCTGGTGGTGCCCCCCCCCAACTTATTACGACTTCTTACTAGAAATCCAGGAAACTCTGTCCTGTGGCCAGTCGCTAGCAAGCCACGTCCCAGTGGCTGAATGGTCTACGAGCTAGCTTGCCTTGTAAGTGGAAGGCTCTAGGTTCGAGACCCAGTGGATGCGAACTGATGATGAGACTCACACTGGGACGAAACAGATGTTCAATTCTGCCTGGTTTTCCACTGGTCCTCTAACTAATATCAATCCGTGAGCAAACTTGACTAATTATTGTTAACTGACATATCACCACTTGCTTGGTAAAATATTGTGTACTGTATTGAAGATGCTATGCATATTAGAGTAGAACCAGAGATGTGGATCTAATTGAAAAGTAAATATTTCTTCATTATTATTATTATCGTTTCCTTTAATTCCTAGAGGAACATAGGGCTTCAGCCGTGCTAGAGTCTTCACCTGGCTCCAAGTCTGCCCACACGTTTTCATCTCCTCTTCACATCACCTCCTCCTCTATGTCACTCTCGCACTGACGACCAACTAACTCGCCACTTTCCATTCGGGTTTCACTCGAGCAATGGCTTGTCTAGTGATGTCACTTGATGGTTTGTTTCCTCAGAGTATGGCCTCGAATCCATTTCCATTTCTTCCTGCCTATTTTTTTCACAGTCGGTTCCTGATTGGTTCACTCATTTCCAGAGATCTCTGTTGCTGATCTTTTCTGGCTGGCCATCTGATCTTGAGTAGTGAGCGAAGACAACTGTTAATGAAGATCTGCAGTTTGTTTGAGATGCTCTTTATGACGCGCTGGCCAAGTCTCTGATCCGTATAGTAGCACTGACTTCACATTGGAGTTGAAAATCCGGATCTTATTTTTGATGCTGAGTGCTGTTGACCTCCACACAAACTTGAGAGTAGTGAAAGCTTGTCTTGCTTTTCCGATTCTTGCTTTGATATCTTCGTCAGTTCCGTCCTCCTGTAGTTGAAACGATGCTTCCCAGGTAGGTAAAGGAGGTTGTTTCTTTCAGGTTTCTACCACTTATGCTGATCGTTGTCTGTTGTTGTTGTTCTTGTCGAGGAATCTTCATCACCTACCTCTGTTTTCTCTATGTTCACCTGAAGTCCTATCTTTGATGCTTCTTCTGCTAACTTGTTGCTTTTCGCTTGCATATCTTCCAGTTTGTGGGAAATCAGACATATATATCATCGGCTACAGAAACTTCAGCACGATGAATCTCCTTGTGCCAAATATTTCCTTTTTGCTCAATCCTTTTACATATCTGCTGATCTATGTTATGAATTAATACTAAAACTTCATCTTACTATAAAAGTTAAATTCATATATATATATACCTGAGTCAAATTTAAAAAAAAACATAAAATTGATCCAAAAAACTTACTTGTATTCCTATTCTCTTCATCTGATGAAATATTCTGTGATTTTACAGTTGAAATATCTCTGATAACATAATTATTATTATTACTATTTGGTGTAATAATTCGTTGGTTGTGTTGTTGTTGCTGGTGTTGTTGATAAGCTAAAAGAGGTGTAGCTTGATGTCGCAAGTGTAATTCACTGCGTTGATGCAAATTTGTATTTGATCGATTATAAGGTGCAAATGGTGTCAGTATCCATCGATTTCTACCATCATCACCATCACCGTCAACATCCTCATCATCGTCGCCAACATTCTCATTCAACAATGTCTTCGAAGGCAATGAAAATGAAGTAACAACATTGTGATGTTGACTTGTCGCCGTTGTTGATGTTGTTGTTGGTGGTGCTGTTGCTGACGTTATTTTATTTTTATCATTCGCGAAACCAATCCTACCCAACTGATTCGATTGTATTCTTGTATTTGGTGATAACAGCACAGAATCAAGTGGTGATCTAGTTTTATCATTTATATTATTATTATTGCTATTGATTAAAGGCGATGGTGGTGCACTGTTCGATGTTGTTGTCAGAATTGATGGACTACTGGCTGGACTTCTTGCCAGAATGAATCGTTTCAACGATTTACTTGTTGATGGAGACATTGGGATAATATCACAGAAGGAGACATCACTGTCTTGCACACATTCTCTCTGCTTGCTATTATTATTATTATTACTATTACTATTATTGATGTTCTCATTTGGATTAGGATACATTGTTAATTGAAAGGTATTAGAACCTCTTGAATTATGAAGGCTAGTATTATGAATATTTGTAGTGTTAGTACGATAATAATTAACCGCTTGTTTTGGTTTCTCTATGCGGTAATTATCACTTTGAGTACTACTAACAGAAGTGGTATTACTAATACTAATACTACTACTATTGTTAACCGCCTTCGACAGACTATCACTAGTATTACCGTCATCCACATTGTTCCTAGTGTTATTGTTGTTATTACTACTGTTATTCTTGTTATAAGGTGAAGCAGTTACAATAACTGTAGAATTATTCAATGTATTATGATATTTCTGAATAATGTCAGTATTGTTCGGCTCATCATGATAGATATAATTGATTTTATTACTTTTAATATGAATCTTATCGTTAGTGTTTATGGTAACTTCGTCTTCATCGTCGTCACTGTCGACATCGTCAGCATCACCATCGCCATCAACATCCTCATTATCACTGTCATTATAGACACAGTCAACATTTTTCGCATTGTTCCTATTGTCAATATTGATAATGGTATTATTGTTTCTTTTTGCATAGGTTGATGATTGTCCCGATGATGAGAAATCAATAGCGTTCGACTGTCTACTTCGTATGATTGTTGTTGTTGTTGGTGGTGGTGGCGAGACAATAATTGTTGAATTAATTGTTGAATCTTTCTTGGAAGTATTATTATTATCCTCGTGTATTGATGATGTTATAATTGAGATATAATGTCCACTTTTTTGTCCTTGATGTATTGTATTGGGATTTTCACGATTAACACTGATATTTGTCTTAGGGCTACTACTACTAATACTACTACTATTATGGGTATAATTAGTAGTATCAGTAGTACTGGGAGTAGAATTAGTCTGAGATGATGATGATGAAATACTGAGGAGGAGCAGGAGGAATTCAAATGATGATTAACTGAACGTTGATTATTCATATTTGGACTACGTGTGAAAGGTGTTGGCGATAAAAGAAAGGCATCTGTACTTGACGACGGGTGTTTTTGTTCATCACGATGTCCAGACGCTGGATAATTTGGTATGATCACTAGTGTTTCTGATATGCTTGAATTTGTTGTTCTACTTGTTGATGTACTATTACAACTACTACCACTACTATTTATTGAGGAATTTGTTGATGAAGTTGTTGATGAATTCGTGTATGATGAAGAATCACATGTATACGATGATGAATCGTAGGATTCTGAGACAGACGAATCAAATTGTTTTTGATTTATATGCGGTTGAATTAGACGAATACTATTTTCTGGATACTGTAATGTGATAAACAGTGTAGAAGTTAGCAACAACAACAAAAACAAAATCAATAACATAGCTGTTATATATATCAAATGGTAAAGAAGTCACCTAAACACTAAGTAATCAGTGCTACTTGTCTTTTTGACAAGTATGCAAAGTTTCTTATTTTACTGGTGTTCTATTAGATAGTTAGAGGTAATCTGCAGAAAGCCCTGCCTTTCCCAGGTTTCATGCTTGTTGGCAATTAGCGGTCAGCGAGGCGTATCTACACCCTTGAAGGAATAGCTCGGTAGCACCGTCTCTCTGTCGCTGACTTCAGCACTGGGTGATGCGGGGTTCGAATCTCAGGAAGGACATAAGTTCCTTCAAAGAGGTTGCAGATACGCCTTGCTAACTGACTGATGAGTGCCAAGAAGCATGAAATCTAGGTGGTGTCTGAGGCTCCTTGCCGTGCAGTGTACCTAGCCTGGCATTTTGGACACATTGCAAACTTAACAGGCAAAATTCAGCCTACACCAAACACAGCACTAGGATCATGACACCAGTTAATTAGCGTCCTAGTAAGTGTGTGGTGAGAGCTGTATGCTAGCCAAAATTGGTAGACAGCAATTTACGTCAATCTTGGTCAGGAGAAAAGAAGAAGAACAAAGACTAACTCAGCAACCAATCACAGCCGACTTTACGTGGGCGGATACGATTAGCAGATATATGGTCTGACGTTCAAAGAAACGGCCACAAAGAGATGACAGATTAACTTTCAGCGAGAGAGCAACCAATCAGAAAACTGTGTTTCTCTGCTGACAATAACGCTAATAATAATGTACATAAAAATCTATAAATACCTGTTGATTTTCTCAATAAACTATCTGTTACCTGGCCCCTGTCTTCTATTGTTACATGTGTAGCTGATTAGAGTAGAATATAACTGCAAAAATTTCCAACTATGAATTGTTTCCTTAAGTGAAAGATTATCTAATAGTGGAAACAAGTGTTCTGTTACGCCACAACACAGTCTCTGCAACTTCTTCTCTACTTACCATTACACTACTGGAAAAAAACTTTTATTGTAGGATACATGCATCATCCGGTCATTATTATGCAAGACAGTGGTATGAAATTACATTGATAAAAAACTGACTAACACCAAATGGTTATTTTCAGGATTGCATTATGACCTGACATTGGTTAGAGAACCATTGGGAAACCCTAGTGGGTGAGTAATGATGAACATTCGAAAAGTAGGCTGACGAAACAGCTGACTGTCGTCCAATGAGTCTCTAACCAATGTTAACTCATAATGAAATCCTGTAATCAATCAAATCAAATCCCGGCAAACCAACACTTGAAGAAATGGCTGTTTTTTAATTGTTGTTTTGTTTTTGACGAGAACTGTTCTCACAGTTTTAATCACTAAAGCATAACACAACATCTTAGGAAGAGGCAAAACACATGCAGTTATCAGGTCATTATCATGTCTCAGTCAAGTTATTATCGCGTTATTACCAAGTCATTGACATGCAATTGTTCTTGCTTCTGATTGGACGCTTGCACAATTCCAATTCTCAACCGGATTGGTTGATTTCCAGTTTAGATAGCAAAGTGTTTTTATTACAACTCTAGTTTTGCAGATCGTATTCTGTTTGCTTGTTTTACAAAATTTTATTTTACTAGTATTGATCGATCTCAATTACACTTAAGGGATGCCTTTAAAAGTGAGTAGACAAAACTACTGTTAGGCTTAAATTCATATTATCAACAAGAGAAGACTTGGACATCACTTAATAGCCAGCTGAACATCTATCATAAGTATAAAGACTTAAATTGACGAATAGGAGTTTAAAGTTATTCTATACATAATGCTTGATTAGGAAAAAGATATGATTTTGTTAATTAGCTACTGTTATCCAAATTAATTTTATTTCGCGTATGACTTATGTCAAATGTCACACAAACTCAAAGACTCACAACAGAAAACCAATAAACTGGCAGAAGAACTAGTACAGCGATTCAAGTGAACATAGAGAAGAAGGGGGTGATGAAGATAATCAACCACCACCACCACCAACAACAACAACAACAGTGACAGACCCCAATCACTATCAATGGGGGAAATTTGAGAGACGTCACTCCCTCCACTTATCTGGCTAGGTAGCATCCTTTCAACTACAGCCGGCGGCACGGATGAGGATGAAGCGAAACAGACATTCACCGCTCTCAAGTTAGTTTGCAAATCTTCTGCTTCACTAATTCAGCATAAACAACAAAATTCGGATTTGCAACAACAGTGTTTAATAAGTCAATCAGTTCTTCTATTTGGGTCAGGAATTTCGCCATCCCGTCACCGAAATCATTTGTAACAGGCCAGTGCAAACTTTCATAAACATAGGAATTCGACCTCCCTACAGTGAAGATCGAATGGCTAACTGGTCAGAAAGAATTAGCAGCAAGAAACTATGGCAATGAACGAACCAACAGGTGAAAACCGATGGATACATTCTGATAAGACTATCGAATGACATCGCAGGTTTGGCCATCACTCGAATGGAACCCAACTGGGGAACAGAGGCATATGAGAGATGAATATGGATAGTCAAAAATAGTTTTGAAAATCTGAAGGTATTTATACGTAGCCTGGTCTTAGGAAATCAACTTCAAAATGTGTTAAATTTAGGCTTCAAGAAAGCAAAGAGCTCTTAAACGTACACCAATACACTTAACTACGGTCCCTGTCATAATGAACACTAACTGCCGCTCTCTGCCAAACAAAATAATGTACCTACAATACTTGATGTCCACTGACACTTATCACAGTACTGCGATAATCACATTACAAGAAACATGGTTACACGAACTGTACGATGACAATCTCATCTCTCTAAAGGACTTCATCCTATTTAGACAAGACCGAAAATGTTGTAATAAGAAAAATGGGGGTGGAGTAGCAACTTTCATTAACTCAAAATGGTCTATTTCTAATAACGTTTGCTCCTCATTTTCAAATGACTTCATAGACTGCATCACCGTCAAATGTCGTCCCAAACATCTCCCCAAATATAAACACATCTTTATCCCAAACATGTACATATCTCCAAGTTGGTCACTACCTAATCTTTCAAATTTTGCTGATGAATTCACCATGTTTGCTGCCGCCAACTTCGATAACTCTCTATCTGTTATTACTGGGGACTTCAACTCGTCAGATTGCTCCTTCCTTGAAGCACTTGGTCACTCTTACATTGTCAAATTTCCCACTCGACTAGACAAAACACTTGATTTAGTTTTTACAAATGACGAAGGAATCTATGAAGCACGTAAACGTGCACCGATCCTCAACTCTGATCACTGCATTGTTCGTGTTCTACCAAAAATTTACAACAAAACACATATCAAAGTCTTCTCGCATCTGTCTATGAAAGCACAACAAAGATGCTACTCATCCGAAAACTTACTCAATCTAAGGAGCATGTTACAAAATACTAACTGGGACTTATTCCATGAAAGTTCATTAGATGACACAATTGTCAATATAACGGATTATCTTAAGTTTTGCCTTGATATATGCTGTCCCAAACAAACTCTATTCAAACGCCTCGACCGTTTCTCATCTCCTTATCTCAAACAACTTCGCAGGAAAAAAGAAACTTTATACAAATCCAAAGACAAGTTAGGACTCAAAAAGATTAATGCTCAGATCAAATCTGAAATCAAAAATCTTAATGTTATCTATAATGATACACTTTTATCATGTAAATCTCCGATCAGTATGTGGAAACTTTTTAATGAAATTACTGGTAATAGTAAGCGTTGTAATACTTTTCCCTCTTATGATGTTAATGCTCTTAATCAGTCTTTTATACGCTGTCCTTCTACTTTAACTACTTCTAATGTTACCTATCATGTAGCTGAAAACTTTCATGACTTTAATACTCCCGATGTTCTAAAATGTCTTAAAACACTCAAGCCCTCACGTAGCCTAGGTCCTGATGGTATACCTGCCTATGTTCTAAAACAATGTGCAGATGTGTTGTGTTCTCCACTAACCAACATCCTAAATGCTTCTTTCTCCAAAAATATCATACCTGATGCATGGAAAGACATCAAAATTGTCCCTGTCCCTAAACCTGGAAACGGCAAGAACGTAAAGTTCAGACCCATTGCCATCACTTCCCCGTTTCTAAAGATTATAGAAAAACTAATACTTCTTAAACTTGAACCCTCCCTTAAAAACTTCGAAGACCCCAAACAATTTGCCTATAGACAGGGTAGGAGTACATTAGACGCTGCAGCTGTCTTACACAACAACATTGTCTCATCATTAGATAAAGGTGCCAAGTACGTCCGCTGCACGTTTCTTGACTTCACTTCTGCTTTCGACTCTGTTCCTAGATGTCTCCTGCTAAATAAGCTCTCTTTGACGAAAACTGAGTCTTGGGTCAGTAACTGGTTGCATTCCTACTTCTCTAACAGAATGCAGTACACCGTGTACAAAGGTAAATCATCCTCTGCTGTACTCACTGAAGCCGGAGTCCCCCAAGGCGCTGTATTCTCCCCACTTCTCTTTTCTTTCTTTCTACATGACTTACCATCTTCAAATGACATTAATTTTGTCAAATACGCTGACGATCTGTCTGTATCTTTGCCTATCAAATGTCAAAGCGACTGCTCTAAACTTATTGGCTTTCTGTCAGAAATCAGCCAGTGGTCCAAGGAAAATGGTCTTACTCTAAACCCCTCCAAATGCCAAACGGTCAATTTCACCTTTAGGCATAAATCCGACCTAAACAAACTGTTTGGCTCTTACGAGGTGAACAACATAGATGGCACTGAAATTGAAACCAAGTCGGAAATTAAATACCTAGGCGTCATTCTATCTGCTGATCTCTCCTGGTCGTCTCATATCTTAGCAATTTCTAAGAAAATATTCCGTCTTACCTTCTACATCAAGAAGTTAAAACATTCTGGTATTACCCAACCCTTACTCCTACAATTCGTTAACTCTCGCATTCTGCCTATTATTCTCTATTGTTCCCCCTTAGTTTTTCCCGGGCTACTGAAGAAAGACTATAACATTTTACGCAGGATGTTAAATGTTGTTAGCAGGGTAAGCAACGTGCCACTTAACCAGCTTGCTAATACTCTGGTTGACAGGCACATGGACTCATGTGAAAAATGGGCCAAATCTATTTTATCTAACTCACACCACCCTCTTCACTCACAACTCTCCCCCTGCATCTCATCAGGTAAAACCAGAAGCCAATATAGAAAACTATATGCTCGCACTAGCAAGTACAAAAACTCAACAATACCCTACTTAGCTCGTGTTCTGTGCGATAAAGAAAGCATTAGGCGTGACACCTATAATTCATTAAATAGTCAGTAGTACAACTGGATCTCGTCTTTCCAACCCACGTCATCAATATGTACAACATTTTCTTTCTTTCTTTTCCTTTTCTCTCTCTTCTTTTTCCGTTATGTGCTGCTTTATTTCTTTCTCTCGCTTACGCCTGTTAATAAGACAGCTCCCACTTTTCTAACACCTTCAAACACTGTTCAGCTTTACCTTTGCTACTGACATGCCAATGTATTGTTGTAATAATGAACTGAGATTTCCTCAATCTATGTAGAATTCCATTTATTGATAATGTACTAACTGGATGCAATACTGCAGTAAAAATGCTGAGAATTCCATTCTGTATCACAAGTACTGTTTTGGAATAAAGAATATTATTATTATTATTATTATTATTATTATTATTATTATTATTATTATTATTATTATTATTATTATTATTATTTGGGAATATCTCAGTAGGTCATCTCTCCATTTAAACGATCAACTCTTTGTATGAGGTTTTATCAAATTTCCTATATGAAATGTAGCGAGTTCAACATTAGATTTAATGGATAAATCAAATCACACCATATACTTTTGTTTGCATGTGAATAAGAATTTTGATTGTATTGTTTTATTTTCAGGTAGACTTGATTATTCTACTTGTATTTTGTAAGTAGTATATAAATAAACAGGTAAAATTTTCAATTTTTATTATATGCAAACGCCTACGTGTCTTTGAAAACGTACTAGTTTTATGTGGGAAAAAGTCTAACAAAATCAGTAAATGATAACACAATTTAGTCAATGAACATTTAATGCTTTGTTTATTCGGACCGGTCTCCATTTGGCGGGAGACAACAATGGCTTTCGTTGCTTAATCTTAAGCTAGTTGGCAGAGGACTGGAGAAATAGGATCAGAAGTATTAGTGTGCATTTCGGAGAGATAGTGTTGAATGTTGCACTGCCTTCGTGATAACAAAGTATGCAAAAAGTCTTACTATGTCATCTTTTGTCTTGTTTAGAAAACTGTATTTTCCGTCTAAACTTGACTCACCCTTCCCAACCCCATCCTTTTTTGACTATTTTACAAAAACACATTTCCTGTGATTACGTAACCTGTATTCTCTTCTATACTCTTTCTCGTTAAACTTTGTTTCTACCCATAGATAATCTGTTTAACTCTGTCCTTTTGTCTTCAACCATAGTCATCCAACTTTCCTATATTCAGTCAGTCCTTTTCACTCTTAGTTATTCAAAAACTTGCAACTAAAACATTCCTGACTAACGGTAGTCTTAGTCTCCACTAATTTCTCATTGTCATTGTGGAGAAAGTATACTCAAATCTTTGATGTAATTTATGTAGATTTTGTATTGTTCATGTTGTATGCAGCCAGCTGAGAAGAATCCTTGGAATAATAATGAAGGCAATGAGCTCACAATATCCTGATACATGTACATTTGTCATTCTGGCCTTATTGAAATTTATTAATGGGATGAATTGTATGACAATTTAAAGGGATTGAGAAAACTTCAGGCAAAATTAAGGATATGCAGCAATTTTCTAGTGTGATTTGAGGGAAGCACCTCCTAGTTATACTGATTTGCCCTTGAAATACAAACGCAATCTGATAAAGTGCTTGGTCCACCACAGAGCAAGAATAATCTGCTCGGAGGAATGTCTTGATGAGGAACTTAATAATATCAAACGGTTGCTAAGTGAAAATGGTTATCCAGAAAAGTTTATTGATAAGAATATGAATCTAAAATCAAGGCAGCCCAAGGTACCAACAGTTCCTAAAAAGGCCTTATTCTTACAAATGCAGTTCCTTGGGGATAACATCAGTGAGATACTAACACAGCGCCTTAGGAATCGCGGTAAAAAGAGCATTCCCTGCTGCCGAATTACGAACACTTTCTTCGGGAGTAAAAGACAAACTGCCTAATTTCGCCTCTTCCATGTGTATCTACCAATTTAACTGCTCCTGTGGAGCCAGTTACATAGGCCGTAAAATTAGGCGTGTTTCCCGTCGAATTTCCGAACATCAGCCTGTGTGGTTAAGCAAAGGACAAACAAAATCTATTCGCAGCGCTATTCTATCTCATCTTGGGGATACACAACACAAGGTTGACGTTGACCATGCTTTCAGGGTCATTTACCACAACGAACTCAATTTTGCCTTAAGAGTTCGACTACTAAATATTGCTGAGGTTGGCTGTTGGGATCCATATTAACAAGCCTAATTTGTGCATCCAAAAGAAGTTAGTTCAGACATTATCATTACCTTGGCCATCTAGGTTTGAATAATCCTGAATTTTTGTGGAATTTTCATAATTTTAGTTGATATTCCATTTGCTACCATATCTTTATTATTATAATTATAATTTAAGCATCTTTAATGAACTGTAATTCCATTGTGATCTTACTTTACAAATCGATATCATTATTTAAAAACTCTAATATTGTTATTGACTACTATTCTAGAATATTCTGTGTGTACAGACATATATATATAATTGTAGAGCCAGAAGAGGAATTTATCGGAAAGGATATTCTTTGCTCAATTATAGATGTCTTAATGTCTTAATGCGTCGGTGGCACAGCGGTTAGGACTCTCGTCGACCATGCACATGGTCCGGGGTTCGATTCCCTGCCGACGCACATCCGATATCAATGGTCAGCCTGCAAAATTTGGGCTACCGATATCACACGCAGAAAATTCCATATTAGTACCATAAATACGGTGTGGAATCAAGCTATAATCAAAAATAAAAAGATCTTAAAAACTATCTGAACATTGTCCAGCCTACTGCCTAACGTCTTCTAAAGTATGAAAATAACAAGAATTGTTTCATGTTAACCCTTTCAAACGGTGATTAATCATTCCTTTTGCATCCTGAGCAGAATATAGGCCTCCAGGTTTTCTTGAAATTTCACTAGTGGTACTGTTGTTTGTTTCTGCGGTAGGATTTTTTTAGCCTCACGCCCAACCATTCCTCTTTAATTAACACTTACTATCGACAAGTAAAGTAGGCTAAGTTTACGAATCCATCATCCAGGGAACTAGCCAGGACCTTGATGGGTGGCTAATGACCATTGTACAAACTGAACCACCAACTTATCAAAGTACCAAGATTTAATCCTTTTTGTATACCCCTCACAAGAACAATCAGGGTTACAAACACAAGTCCGAAATAATTATGATTCAAGATAATATATACAAATTATTTTAAATATGATTACCTGTTTATCATTTTTGTATGTGACTATTGTATTCGTAGTAGTGGACGAAGCAGGCGGAGCAGAAGCAGAAGAAGGCACAGTAATTGTTGCATTATTTGTAGCTGAACTGCTATTTACACTATTCGTTATTGTAGTTGTTGGCAGTGTCACATTCGTTGTGTATATACACTTTTCTATTGATGTTTTCACTGCACCACTTGTTTCTGAATGTTGTCCTGGTCGTTCAAAATCTCTAATAACAATGATGGATTTTGATGAAGTTGTTGAATCATTCCCTGAAGATCCATAACTATCTGAACTGAGTTTTAAAATAAAGATAAATTATCATTACTATTATTATGAACATAATTAGGATTATTAATATAATAATGGCTTCAAGGATTGGTTTGTAGAGATTTGATTGATTGGTTGCAGGATTTCATCATGAGCTGACATTAGTTAGAGAATCATTGGAAAATCAACAGGGAGTACTGGAAAGCCGTTTAGTCAGCCTAGTTTGGGACTCTTCATCAGTACGCACCCACCGGGGTTCAAACCCAGGACTTTCTGGTTACAAAGCGAGCAAGTGGGAAATCTTGACAAGTAGGGTGCATCTGGTCGGGTGATAGGATAAATACGCGCCAGCGATGACGTTGGCTAGCGGTCGCGCTATGTTGTGAATTGGAAGAAGTTAGAATTCATCCCAGTGGCTTAATGGTCTACGAGCCGACTCGCCTTGTAACCAGAAGGCTTCGAACCCCGGTTGGTGCGTACTGGTGAAAAGTCCCAAACTAGACTGACGAAACTGCTGGCTGTCCAGTACTGGAGTGCTGGTTTTCCAACGGTTCTCTAACCGATGTCAGCTCATGATGAATTCCTGTAACCAAATAATGGCTTCATTCTGGATCGTAGTCAACCCAGAAGACAATTTTCACTGTATTCCATTACAAAATATAGATATGATGGAGAAGATTTGTAGCTCAGGTGGGTGATTTTGATGTAGTTGCGTTCTCTCAGCTGGATGGTTTATTTGCAAAGCTTTCATTGCCCTACTAGACAACAAACATCTTCAGCGTATACTTCACTTTGATTAAGTGAGCTTTTAGATTTCTCCATGAGTTTATTAGTCATCTCTCCGGAAAATACACAAAAACAACCAATCACGTTCAAGGTTACCTAACCAGGAGAGATGACTAATAAACTCGTGGAGAAATCTAAAAGCTCACTTCAATTCAAATTTAAGTATGCACTGAAGATGTTGCTTAGTAGGGAAATGAAAGTTTCACAAATAAACTATCCAGCTCAGAGAACACAAGTGCATCAAAAATTACAAAATATCCACACTTCGTATAGAGGATCTTCAAGAGAAACAGTAACTGACAGTATATGATATGATGCGACCTGTTTTACTGGTCTGAAGTAAGATCAAATATCCTAAGTTATGTTACTTCCGAGAAGCCTGTACAACAGTAATAGAGAAGATTTGTAGCTCATGTGGATGATTTTGAATTAGTTGTGTTCTCTGAGCTGATTGATTTAATTGTAAAGCTTTCGCAATGCACACAGACTAAATACTCAACTATAGTAGTAATAACCCAATTACTACGCATAAAAGGAACTGTGTGCAGACATTGTCTAAAAGAGTTCAAACAAAAAACTGTAGTACTAATGCAGTGTTAAAGAGAATCGAGGTAAAATACCTACTACCTGTCTTCAAAAAGAATAGACATCTCCCTGAGAAATTCATCAGAAAGTCTTTAAACAACAACAACAAATATTAGATAGTCGGATGCGATCGGCAGGAAGCCTTGGACCTAGGTTTCGTGCTAGTTGGCAGTCATCAGCGAGCGTATCTGCAACCTTGAAGGAACTCATGTCCCTTCTGAAATTCGAACCCGCGTCACCAGAGCTGCAGTCAGAGAGAGACGTTACCACTGAGCTATTCGGGCTCGCGATTGACCTCCTGTAGGACTGTAGTGGGTATTTTGATTGAACACTAGTAACTACTGTGACGTGTCTAGTCCTTTCTTTGGTGCAGACTGAATTCTATCAGTCAGGTTTTGCAATGTGGCCACCATTCTAGGTAGCTCGCTATCATGGTGCACATTGATTTGATGATATTAGATAGTTGGAGGCAATCGGCAGGAAGCCTTGGACTAGACACGTCACACTAGTTACTAGTGTCCAATCAAAACAACAACAAATAGCCGTCATCAAAGGCCACTGAAAAATTCACTCTACCATATATATAAAGAATATCTCTGAAATAATGGATAGAATATTAACACCATTTGAAATAAACATAGCACACAAGCCAGTAAACACAATTACTTCATTCGACATTGTGGAGAGCAAAAGATCCAACAAAAAAAGAAGATAAAATTAATACCATTTACAAAATAAATTGTATGAACTGCGATAAACATTACATCTGTCAAAGTGGGCGTCCCCTTCATGTTTGAATCCAAGAACATAAAGTAGCTGTAGAAAGACATGATATATATATATATTCTTTCTTATCAATGCATGTGGATAATTACGGACACCAATTAGATGATTGAGATAATGTAGAAATTTTAAACAGGGCGAGGAAACACTAAAAATGCAGTCAGAGAATTTCTAGAAGCCTGGATGGTACTCAAGTGAATCAGCGATTAACAAACATATTAATATATAGACCAAATTTACCAACTAACCAAGAAGAAATCACAACGCAAGAACGTTGGAATTCCAAGTCAACAAAAATGATCAATAGAGATGTAAATTAACAACCAATGAACCATGACAATGGTTGTCAGTAGGGAGATAGAATTATATCATCGTTTATGGAAAATTTAAATGAGTTCATTTTATACTAAAACCCGCACTGAAGAGATGTTGTCTAGAAGGCGGACGATTCAAACGTAAATCGCCAACCAGTTCATAGAACATAACTAATTCAAAAGCTTTATAATAATAGTTTGAAAACTAATTAAGAATTGCGCGTCAGTATATGTTGCTATTCAAGGACAATAATTGAACGATTAAAACAATAAGAAATAGAGAAAAATCAATTTATTATGCTCAATAGAAATTAAGGTATCTAAGAGATTTAAACACTGGTTTGAATATGAAGTAGTTGGAACATTTCGATAGTTTTTTCAAAAGGTTATCTAGAGCTTTCACTTCAAAAAATAAGTTTTAAAATTAGGTAAGCTCATCTTGTAATCAGGAGGTCGTGGGATCGAGACCCGGTGGGTGAGTACTGACAACGATTCCGAACCTAAGCTGACGAAACAGATGCCAAGTACTCTTAAGGATGAAGTCACCTTCACCTCCAGTGAGAATTCATCACCATTTTGGTTCATTAACAGGTCAGGAGTCAATACGAATACTCGCCAGCAATGACACTGGCTATTGATCGTCCCGATAAAGTCACCAATTGGTAGAAATTAGAATTCATGGACTGACTGACTGGCCATTGAAGAGTCGGGTCCCAGTGGTTGACTGGTCTACGAGCTGGCTAGCTTTCCTTGTAACTGATAGGTGATGGGACGAAACCCAGTCAGTGGGGTGGGTGCATAGTGACGATGAGTTCCAAAGTACACCTGACGAAACAGCTAGCTGTCTGTTAGTACCCAGATAGGAATTTTCAATGGTTTTCCCGCTGATATCAGTCCTTTAGTCAAAAACTTGAGAAACAAAACAATTCCACGCACACAAACTCTTGAAAGCTTAGAATTACTGAATACTGTGTCAGTTTATTTACCCTTTAAAGGTATGATTACCTGTGTCACTGCAATCGTGATATGAAAATTGAGGTAGCTGGCGAAATCGTGTCTATACAGACGTCAGAATTTGAAGTAATATTAATTATTGAAAAAACAAGCAAAAGAAACAGAAAATTCTCATAACATCCATCACGTCCATAGCCTGACGTGTTAACATATTCTTACATGTACCTAACTCAAACATTACACTGAGGTATAACTCATATTGTGAAACGCCTACACAATTCAAAATAAGGTCTACTGTGTTTTTGTGCTCATTATATTGTGATTCAAATTACACAGATCAAAATGTTGTCACGTGTAAAGAGACCTTCTTTTCATCACTCTAGTAATCATTCTCGAAAACACGATGACATAAGAAAATCAACAACGTGACAAATGGTGATGATGATCGAGGATAATGGCGATCAGGATATTAGAGAGAAAAGAATAAGAAGTTCAGCGTAAAGACAACTAACTATCTTTCCTGCGATTCCATTTTCAAACGTAGCTGTACATTGGCATTTATTTACAATCATAAGTTTACAGAGATACAATTATCCTGATTTAATTCCACACAGTGACGAACGAAGGAGATCATGAAAGTTTATAGGTGTGAATATAAGTTAAATGTGGCTAAGAAATAAAATTCCACAGGATTTGAAACTAGTTTTTTTTAACGAATGCAGCTTCGAATAGGATGACCATGGAAACAAACTAAAATAATAATTTTTTTACAATTTAAAATGAAAAAAAACAAAGCGAAAAACTAAGGAGTCAAACAGAACTCGATCTTCAAGTATTGCTTTGTAAGGATTTGATTGATTGGTTACAGGATTTCATTATGAACTGACATCGGTTAGAGAACCATTGGGAAACCACCAAGGGCGTACTGGATAGCCACCTTTTCTGTCAGCCTGGTTTGAGATTCTTCATCAGTACGCACCCACCCCACTACCAGCGTTCCAATCTAGGACCTTCTGGTCACAAGGCGAGCTAGTAGACAATTCAGCCAATGGGATCTGATCCAGTAGCCAGTCCATGAATTTCAACTTATGTCAATTCACGACATAGTGCGACTGGTACTAGCGAATGTCACTGCTGGCGAGTATTTGTCCTCACACCCGAACTAGATCTATGGTATTAAATATCGAGGTTGGACTAGTTTCTTTTGAACAACACATAGTTCCGGCTTTGCAATGCATATAGTGAGGGCTTCTGTAGTACGTAGAAGCTGGAAACACACTGCCTTCAGTAGATTTTTTGCTTACTTTGTAAATGACTCAAAACGTGTTAGAGAACATTATCTAGCATGTCTGCAAAGAGGAGGCACTGGTTCAGTTAGAAGCGCCATAGTTGAACACCTCGTCAACACGTGTTACAGCATCTCAAATAACTCATCATTCAGAGTCATTTACAAAGTGAATATAAAAAGTCCTGCGTCTCCGAATTCTTTGTACCGCAGAAGTCCTCACCATATGCATCGAAAAGCTTGAACTATGTTTTCAAAAGAAACTAATCTAACCTATACAAATAACAACAGATGTAGTTCAGTCTGACTCAGCTTTCG